GAGGGGGAAAGAGGCCCAATGGCCTGCCAGGGCTGTATAAGTCAGAGATGCTTACCTTTGGGCTGTTGAGAGCATGGCCACTGAGGAAGCACCTCTTAGAAGGACCTCAGTACTAACACATGCGTGTGGTTCCTCCAATGTTATTGCCGCTTTGTCTCATCTTGAAAAGAGAATTCTAGATTTGGGGAGATGTCCCAGTGGTACCATCTCAAAGAGCTGCTTGAAGACAAGTTAAAGGATCCTGATGGAAGGGGCAGGCTGGAATTTGGCTACACACAGGCATCTAGTTCAACATAAATAGGAAAGAGGAAAAATAGGATGTTCCCAAAGGACCCCAAACTCTATGTCTGTCTGAACTCGCAGGCCTTTTTTTTTTTTTTTAAGCAGCAGCATCTATTTTTGCCCCCCATTGGCCATTAAAAATAATAGATAAAATTTTGGTGTGTATTGTGCGCCAGCTCTGTGTAAGCACTGAGACAGTCTCACTTAACACGTAGAACCCTGTGGAGGTTGATCTTATTAGAGATGGGGAAGCTGAGGATCAGGGTGTTTTCGTAACTTGCTGAAAGTCATGCAGCTAGAAAGGAGTGGACCTGGTTTGTGTGAGTCCAGAGCCCACTTCTTTTCCAGTCTTCACCTCCTCTCAGACACCCCATGGAAACAACAACACAGAGGCACGCCTTGGGACCAGCCTTGTCCCGTGTCCTTCCTGTAGAGAGTCCCACTTCTCGGGTCAGTTTCCGTGGCTCGGCATGTGGTGGTCCAGCCTTGCTTCCACATCAATCCTCACGTTCCTCTGTGGCTTAACGAAAGCGTCCCACCTCCCGCCCCTCCATCCTGGTGGCACTCAGAAGGTTCTGTTTTGAGTTTCAGCGGCAATTACTCCCTTGTGGGGAAAGCCTGTTGGCCAGGGAGGCGGGGGCGGGTGGTGCTGGCCAGGTTGGCATGTGCTCTGTGTGCATTTGGCTCTCGAGGTGTTGTATCGAAGATCTTTGTTTTTAATCATAATATCTCACATGTTTTCTTTCCGTGCTGCTCATTGTAAGCTAGCTAGGGGCGGTGGCAAATCTTCCTTTAATTTCCAACGTGATGGATTATTAGTTCACTGAAAATGGTGTTTCATTTGCACATGTGCCCCGAGGCTTTTAAATATCAAGCTCATTTGATGATTGTTGGGAATCAATTTAGACTCCACGGTTACGTTCTGTGAGTTGGACTCATGAAGCACCATTAACAGGGGCTAAAGTTCAAAAATTAGAATGAGTTCAACTCCATACTCTTAATTTCTTCCTTTAAAAAAAAAAATCAATTTTCTTTCCTGAGAATTGACCCGAGAAGCTTTTAAAATTTTTGCTTAAAAGGGAAGAAGACAATGCAGATGATGAGTTTTTGGTCCCCACCTCTCAGCTTGTTCCTCTCATGCAGCCTGCTTTCCCCTTTCTCAGCCCACAGGCCTTTTTTTTTTTTCTTTTTTTTTGAGATGGAGTCTCGCTCTGTCGCCAGGCTGGAGTTCAGTGGCGTGATCTCGGCTCACTGCAAGCTCCGCCTCCCAGGCTCAAGTGATTCTCCTGCCTCAGCCTCCCAGGTAGCTCAGACTACAGGTGTGTGCCACCATACCTGGCTAATTTTTGTATTTTTTGTAGAGATGGGGTTTCACCATATTGGCCAGGATGGTCTTAATCTCTTGACCTCATGATCCGCCCATCTCAGGCTCCCAAAGTGCTGGGACTACAGGCGTGAACCACTGCCCCTGGACCTATAGGCCTTTCTTGATCCTGCTTCACTTTGCTTTCTACTTACCTCCTCTCATTTCTTCTAGTTTGTCCTGTACCAGCTGAACAAGATTCATATTTCAGCAAGCCACTTTTTCTCCCCTTTTTCTTTTCTTCTTTTTTTTTAATGCTCTGTGACACAGTCTGGAATGCAGTTGGAGTGAACACTGTGCACTGCAGCCTCAACCTCCTGGGCTCAAGTAATCCTCCCGCCTCAGCCTCTCGGGTAGCTGGGATCACAGGCGCATGCTAATTTTTTATTAGCCATGCCTGGCTAATTTTTTAATTTTTTTGTAGACATGAGGTCTTGCCATGTTGTCCAGGCTGGTCTTAAAATCCTTGGCTCAAGCATTCCTGTTTCAAAGTGCTAGGATTATAGGTGTGAGCCACCGCACCTGGCTTTTCCTTTTTTCTTCTTAGGAACTGAGTCCCCTCTCTAGGATGCCTGTTTATTCATATTTAAGAGCAATGGGGAGCAGAGTGACCCTGCCACAGCGAAGTGTTAAGGCCTCTTGTCTAGGCCTTCCAGAGCCTTTCTAGCACCAGACAGCCTGGGCCATTGCTTATGTAGTAAATTTTTCTCTTGTCTTTTTAGATTCAGAGCTGTGGTAAGGATGGAATGTGCGTGTGTGTGTGTGTGTGTGAACACTCGCATTTAATACAAACGAGAAATGCTTATTTCACAGAAGGTAGCTTTGAATAAGTTTTGGGGTTCAGATTTGAAGCTGAGCATAACCAGAAACTTCTGCCTGTAAACTTTTTTTTGGGGTTTCCTTCAGAGGAGAAGTGAGAGAAGAAATAATTCTACTCTGGGGAAATGCATAATTTAGAAGCTGTCTGCATGTCTAAGAAAACAGACTCTGTATCTGCTCTCTAAACGCAGACTGGCAGCCAGGTCATTGTTTCTTTTTCTCCCCTCTGTGTTTGTGTAAGACGAATGGGTCTGGTGTTCTGTGTGCTCCCCAGCGGGCAGCTGAGGCTGTGGACTCCAGCAGCATTTGGCCTGGGGGAAACCTACTGCTTGTTTTCCCCTGCCTGTCTTTCCTGTTTCCTTACTCTATAACTCACCACCCCTTCCTTTCCTGGACGTGCTGTCTATCCTGAGAATGGAACAGGAATATTAGAAAGGTTGAAGGGCCAGGCGCGGTGGCTCACACCTGTAATCCCAGCACTTTGGGAGGCCGAGGTGGGTTGATCACCTGATGTCAGGAGTTCAAGACCAGTCTTGCCAACATGGTGAAACTCCGTCTCTACTAAAAATACAAAAATTAGCCAGGCGTGGTGGTGGGCACCTGTAATCCTAGCTACCTGGGAGGCTAAGGTAGGAGGATTGCTTGAACCCGGGAGGTGGAGTTTGTCGTGAGCCAAGATTATGCCACTGTACTCTAGCCTGGAAGACAGAGTGAGACTGTCTCAAAAAAGAAGGAAAAAGGAAGGTTGAGGGTATTTCAGGAAACTCCAAGCGGAGTACTTCGCTCTACCACCTTTCTACCTGTAACACTATGCATTGGTCTTCTGTGGACTGTCTTGTCATTCACCTTACCTGCTACTCAGAGTGTGCCCAGTGTGTGATGAAGGGGTTCTGGATCCAAAAGTTTATGGATCTTTCGTCCTGTCTCCTGTGATGGCCAGGCCTAACTCTGAGGCAAAGCCGAGAGAATTATTTCCCACTTCCATTTCCTTCAAGTGTTGCTATAATGTTCACTATAACCTGATTTTACATCTTTAAAACTAGAGGTGGGAGGCTGAGCAGGGGCGACATCGTACCTTGGCCCCTGGAGATCTGAATCCCTTCAACAGTCAGATAACTCACATATAATTGGCGCATGTGGAGCCTCCTTGGCTCAGGGCTGCAAAAGAGGAGTGCTCTCACTGTGGAATAAGGGGTGGTGACTGATACTGTCCTTCAGCCTAGTGCTAGGTAGTGCTGTTGGCCACTCAGGACGATATAAAGTGTCCCAGAAGTATGGCAGCCTCAGTGACTGCTTTGGTGGGAAGGATTCCAGGGAAGACGGCAGCTTTGCTTTGGAAGATTTGGTTCCAGGGAGGTTTAGAGGAAAAAGAGGATGATGATTTGCAGGCTTTCTCTAAAGATCCAGATGGATCCCAGACGTAGTCCAGCCAGGAAGATCTGATTTTGTTTATCTTCCTTCCCCATCTCCCTAAATAATTTTATCTTCAAAGCATGACGCAGGTGTTAATTAACACTCCCCACTCTCCTGGGAGGTAGGCAAGTGGAAACACCTCCCCTATTAGTGAAGCCCAGGGGATAGCAGGTGCGGAAGCCTCAGGCAGGTGAGCCACAGAGAAGCAGAGGAGTCTTAGACCTTGTGGCCCTGCCCTCAGACCTTTATTTGGACTCGCTGCTCACTTAGTTACCTTGGCACCACCTCGCTTTCTCAGTGTCCTTGGTTCCCAGTAAAAGAGCTGAGGCTGTGGTAGAAAAGATGTATGGTACTATGGGATGAATAATGGGAAGTCAAAGGGCTGGGAAGGAATTCTGGTAAAATTCACTGTTACTGTGAATTTTAGATGCAGGATTCTGATTATGCCATCGATTTCATTCATTGGGTTTAAAAAAATAATGTACTATTTACTTCTAAGTGAGGTGTATTGCAGAGAGAATCACTTCTTCGGAAAGAGCTGGCTTACCACTAGGGATCCCGCTGATTGGGAACTTGATCCTTTATATCCCATGCTCAATCTCTAAAGCAAAGCCTGGAGTGTGGGGTTTGCTGCCTCTGCAGGTGATGGCTTCAAGCGTTGGACTCTCGACATCTGGAAATGGATGAGAAACCCAGGTGTGACTGTTGGATGTGGTGAACCTCTAGAGGCTAAACTTTAACTTCTGCTTTAACCACTTGCCTTGGTTGGCTCAGGAGAGGGGGCCCTGAGGAGTCCTCTCCCTGGGGCTGTAGGTGGTAGCACGTCTTCAAGCCTGATGTTATCTAGGGCTGCCTGGGAATGATAATAATGCATGTGCTGGGTGTCTAATGAAACTGCTGGGATGATACTGAACTTCCCACTCCAGAAAAGCAGCGAGACTGGAGTCTCCAGTGGTTTCTTTCTCATTCATTGGGTATCTTGGGCATAATACAAGGAACAGAGAAGTGGGTCATTTGATCCTGTAAGTGTTGCCTTCTTCATGGGTAGCAGTTGGATTCTGCTTGCTTTGTAGGGAGCCCTGCTCCATCAGCCAATGTTAGTCCTCTTTCCTTGATGTTACAGGCTGCTGAGAACTAGCCCTAGACCTCCGCGTGAGGGTTCTTCTGCCGAAGACATCACCAGTGTGTGGAGCCTGCCCCACACCCACCCGCTGCCAAACCACGGCCTTTACCTGTGTCTTCCGGTGTTTCCCGTGCGACCCATCCTGTGGGAGTGCCTCGTGGGCTGCCCCAGAGTTCACCCCACACTCAGCAGCGCCAATGGTGAAGATGACAAGATCAAAGACTTTCCAGGCATATCTGCCTTCCTGCCACCGGACCTACAGCTGCATTCACTGCAGAGCTCACTTGGCCAATCATGATGAACTAATTTCCAAGGTACATGTTTCCAGCAGGCCTTCCTTGCCTACCTCGGGGAGGGCGCTTAGTGCTCTTAAGGTTGCAGAGGTTTACAGGCTCTCTCAAGAATGTTTGTACTCCATCTTTGTACAGGGAGGGCTGACCCACATGACTGTCTCGCTCAACTGAGAAGTAACTCTGAGTTGGAGGGACAGAGTAGTAGTTTAATTTGTTATTTTGGAAATGAGGTGTCATCCTTGTTGGAGGCTTTGGGAGCTGGCAGCTTGCAGGCCAGAAAAGGGAAGGGCTGGGGATGGATGGGAGCCTTGTGCTCAGCTTGCTTGGTTTAGGTTGGCGGACGAAGAGTGAAGAGTGCTCCCTGCTCAGAAGGTGAATTCTAAGAAAGCAGGAGGATGTCTTGTAAGAGGGGTTCCTTAGCAAGAAGAGAGAGCCCCCCAGGAAGTTGTAAGACTATGGAGTTACTAAAGTGGGTGGCCTTTGGCAGGGACCAAAAGTGGCTTGTTGAAGAGCAGACCGTCTGGCCTGTGGGGGCCTTTAGGGCTTATACATGAGTAATAATGGCATGACATTTGATCATGATCAGAAGAATGGAACCCGATTTTTCCTGAGGTGCTTAGGCAGCTGCTTTCTAAAGATGGGGCTGGGGGATTATTAAGTAAACCAACATGCCAGTTGTGCAATTCAGGAAATGGATCCTTCAGGCAGCGTTCTCAGGGGAACTGCTTCCCTCCTGGCCCTAGATTCCCAGGGGAAGAGAAACAGGTTTTACTAGGCTGCATGACAAAGAGAAAGATCATGGGAGACTTTTCCCTTACAAAAGCATCTTTACCCAGAACCAGGACTTCACGCCATTAAAGTAAAAACAAACCAACCCACCTCTACACAGACCCAGGTGAAGTTTTTTGTTTTGTTTTTAAATCGGTGTTCCTCATCTGTTTACAAGACCTGCTGGAAAAGGTGGCTGTTGCTTTCTTTGTCTCTGGTTTGGTAGCCCCAGCCAGAGAGGAATGAAGGATCTAGTCAGCTCTTGTAGAACAGTCCTCTCCAGCTGGCTGATTTGACCTAGGAGGTGAAGAAGGCTGCCCAAATAACCACATCTGTAGTAGTAAGGCTTTTCAAATCAGGCCTGAGGACCGAACCCCCTATTCTAGCCTATTCTCCAGGGTCTAAGGTGACCACAGAGCTTGAAGCATACAGCCCCTTAGAGTCCTATCCTCTGGCCAGACTTGTGAATCTGCCCCACTTTCTTTTCTTTATGGTTCTGTTAATTCCTCTCCTTTACGCTGCTTACATTTCAGCCAGCCTTTAGCTTCCTTCTCAGCTTCCCTTTGAATTTTGGGGAACCCCTTGAGTCTGGAAGTTTGAATGTGAAAAGGTGTCAGTGAGAGAAGAGAGGAGTTGGTCTCTTGGGTGTTGGAATTGGGTTTGCAAAGTTGGAGGGGAATTGTGAGTTGTCGGGTTTGGTTTGGTTTTTTTTTTTTTTTTGGAAATCTCTAGAGAAATTATTTGCCTATATCTACTGGGAAAGCCAAGGCATCATTTTTTTAATACAAGGAACCAGTGCTATGTATCATAAGGAATTGAGGTACCAATAAGGTATTTTAGCACCCTCTATGTACTAAAAACTGCAGCTTGACACTTTATAAATGTTATCTTAACCTTCGTATGAAGTCTTTAAGGTAGGTGACATGAGTCATATTTTATGCGGATGAAGAAGCTGAAACTCATAAAACTTGTCCAAGATGTCAAATCAGAGGTTCAGAGAAGAGTGATTACTTTGAGTGGGTGTTCAGGAGGGATTGCTGGAGGAGGTGGTTCTTTGATCTGGGCCTTGTAAAATGGGCAGAAGTTGAATATGTGGAGATGGTAATGGCCTTCAGAATTTATGTCTTATCTCTTTGGCCTAGTGTACAGGGCCTTTGACAATTTGGCAGAGTCATTACTTTTTTGTTAGGTCTCCAGCCAGCTCTCCACTTTGTTTCAGCCACTCGGAACCAAGCCACATTCCCTGAATATGCAGGTATGGGTGTTTCAGGGCTGTGTGCCTTAGTCAAGAGTGTCCCTTCTTCTTCATCTCCCTCCTTCACTTCTTTCTCCTGAGCTCTTCTTCTACGTCCTTGGGCATGGCCTATATCTGCTTTACGTCTCAGGGTCAGAACCTGACCCATGGCAAGATCTCAGTAAATGATAAATGAATAGATGGAGGTTGAGCCTTGGAGAAGACAAGTAATGAGAAAAAAAAAATACTTTGTTGGCCTCATGTCCTTCCTGTCCCTTTTGGGGCAGAAAGGCTCATTCACAAGTCCAGGCCAAAGTCAGCACAGGCTTCAGTTTCATTGGCTCAGGCCGGTACACAGATGGGGTGCATTAGAGCTTGATGATTTAAAGGGTTGGGTGAAATGCCTGGCTGTGGGGAGAGCTGAGGGAGCTGCGGCTGGCATTGCACAAAGGTTCCTTTATTTCACTCCACAGCCACCCCCGGCGTTAAATAATCTATAGATTCTTATGCAGGTCTGCCTAATGGAAAGATCATTGCCCCAGCCTCCTCCTTGGAAAATAGGCCTTTCTTTTCATTTTTCCCCCCCTCCTCTTCCATTTAAGAAAGTTCAAGGAGAGAATGTCTCTCCTGTTCTCCTCTCTTGACTTAATCTCCTATGCAGTTGCAGAATCTGCCCAGTGGGAGTTAGGAGCTGGGAAGCAGATAACTGGAGCTGGATCAGCAGTGTAATTAAATGATACTTTGTACTGGTAATAGGGTCTTTCATCTGAAAGCTTGACATTCGTTTGGTGCAAAAAAAAAAAAAAA